ATATCATGTAAAATTATAAAATTATAAAATTATAATATTACCATTTAGCAATATAATAATTAATTAATGTATATAAATAATTATAAAATTATAATATTAAAATATTATCATTTAACAATATAATAATTAATTAATGTATATAAATAATGATAAAATTAAAATAAAAAATATATATTTATTTACATTAAAATAAAAAAAATTAATTCAAAATAAATTCAAACTCAGAAAATAATAATTATATTTTGAGACGGGGAGTACTACATTTATTTCTGGGTTGCCTGCGAGTTGACAAAAGTGAAAGTTCAGAGAAGAAACAAAAAGAATATATAGAGAAATGGTGTCTCTCATAATTTTTTTATGTTAATTTTTTTATATCCGATAATTATATTAGATCTAACTAATTTAGAATCGAACCGCATTTGATTCATTAAAAAATTCTCTCAGTATGTATTTCTATATTCAAAAAACTCAAACTCAAGATTTTATTTAAAAAAAATTAATATTTTTTCACTAGAATTAACAAGTTGTTGGTAGTACCTCTCACAGTCTTAACTAATCAAACGTCACTTGTTTGCGAAAAAAGAGAACTTTAAATAAACAACAGAGGATTTAGTGGTCCTTACAGACATTTTGCAAGAGCAGAGAACGAGGGGCACAGACACCTCACTGGGAAGAGCAAGACCATCTGCTGCTTAGATCAGACGCGCACCTTATTTGTAATTAGGTTCGAAAACGCTCGAATACTTTTAACTGATCGCACGATTCTCCCTGCTTTTCGTAATCTTCTTGGCTTTTTTCTTCACTCCTCAAAGATGGTGGACGGTTGCCTTTAGTTGGATCCAGTTTTCCATGTGCCGTCCACTATGATGGTTTCTTTTTATTCATTTATCTAAAAATTGATTTTCCCTCTTAGCAGGTCAGGAGCATTGAATCAGACCGATAGGTTGAATCGATAAAACTGGTACTTGGTATTATAAACGGATCAGATTAACATTTAGAATCGATAAAATAAAAGAGATTTTTTATGACTTTTGCCACTAGAACGTTATTTCTTTGATTGAAATGATTTGCTAACAATTTCATTTATTTTATTTTTGAAAGAAAAGAATTGCCTGCACATGCCAACTTCCTTCCTTTGTATCATTAACTTTCATGTTAAAATTAATATAGTGATTCAACTAACTTTT